ATTGGATGCATTAAAACCAAAGGAGCAACATATGTAGTTATGTGTGACAAACAGGTGTAACTTTAATGCTACACAAAAATAGAAGAAAATATAATTTTATTTGAAAATTCGAGGGTGTTTCTAACTTTGTAATACCTTTCTTAGAATGTGAAATGCACTTACGTATCCGATAATGTGTAACATTCTCTTTTGGGTATCTTATGTTATATATATATATAAATAAAATTTCACACGATAACAAAAAATGAACAGATTAAATGTTAAGCAACTTCTGATGCATACCCCAATTTTGATTTCAATTGAAATGTGTTTTCTATTCTTTTGTTTATATCTTTAATTCTGATTATAACTGTATAGAATAAATATTTGATAGAAATTCATTACAATGCAAGAAAACGAACGATTTCTGGATGTCTGTAAAAAAATGTCATTGTATAAATTGTAAAATACACTAGAGCGTAACGTAGAATTTATGTGAGCATTTCGGCAATATTAATTTGAAATATTATACGGGAATATTCTGTTATACGGACAATGTCACTTGTTAAATGAGATATAATGTGTAAATCATATAATATGAGCATTAAGAAATGATTGTTAAACAATGCATAGTGCGGTAAAAAATAATTTTACATTAAACATGCTTTCTTAGAAAATAAGTGTATCTATGCTAATCTTTGAATTCTTTCTCTTCTAATAAAGTGTATTCTTCTAATCATTATCTAACATGTTTAGGTATATTTTCAGCAGAAAACTAGGGAGTTCATTTCCAAATCAAACTGTGTTTTTGTAGTGTAATTAAAATAGTATTTTCTATTGGTTGTACCATGAAATAAGTTATTCGATAAATAATATTCGAAAGGCAAGTTTTAAATTGTATTGAAAATTCAAGATTAATTAGGTACGCGATAAAAAGTATGTTTTCAAATGAATTGCATTCATATATTGTATATATTATACGAGACTGCGTTTTTATTATTTATTTTATTCGTATTCGAAAGAAAAGAATTCTAGTAACTTGCAATAACTGGCAAGAGGAAGTTGCAACCTGAAAGATTTTCTTTTCTTTTCACACAGTTGAAATCTAGGAACCAACAAGTATAAATAAATCCTAACTATGTATCATCGGTGAATAAAAATTTCATAAGAACTGAATGCAAATATCAGTTGGGTAAGGATATTAAGGGAAGAAAGATATTTCGAAAAACTATAATACTCTTTAGTACTGATCGATTACTAATTGCTAGTACTTTAGAAGTTTGTTATTTGAAATTCAGGTTGATCGAAAGTGTTTCTATCCACAGGCCAACTTCCGGATCTCTAAAAACTAAACACTTGTTTGATAAATTTCAGGAAATAATATTTTCCGTTTCTGTAAATTTGTAAGTAGAATTAGTAACAGTTTTGAAGAAAGGACAGTAATTTGTGCAAGCTTCGAGTCGTCGTAGGTACGATAAGCTGTTACAAATTCCTCAAGACGAAACTGTATCTTCTTATTATGTTGATAATTACACTCGCGTATGATTTGCGAAGCTGTATTTGTAAGATTGAGTCAGTGAGCGACATCGTTTCAAAGTTTTAATATTGCGTAATCAGAACGTAAAAAGTCGTAAGTAATCGATTAATTAATGAATTAATATTGTACGTGGAGTACGATGTACACTGTTAACGCAGATGCTGTCATTATGTCCTTTACCTATTTAGTAGTATTGGTGAGTTTGGATACGACGCGGGTAAGTGCCCGATTTTCGGCTTTCAATCTCTCATTTTCAGCTTTGAGCTTTTGTAATTGCTGTAAACAGTGAAACGATTAGCCCATGTCTGTTTATCTTGTAAAAGCCCCCACCAGACACCGCTATTCAAAAGTTTATGGAACATTTGTTACAGTAAATAATATAATAATGTCCCTAGTACCGTCCCAAAAAATATGGGTAACGAAAACCACACGGAAGTAGTAATCAAAAGGAAGTACAAAGTGCCAATTAAAAACCATTATATTGCATAAACAATAAGCGTGATTACTTAATAAAGATACTGAAAAATAAAAGCACCAAGAAATGGCAAATAAAGAAGAAAGCAATGCATTAAAGCCGCGTATGTTCTCTTTTCTTTTCTTTCCTTTTTCCTTTTCTTTTTTTTTCTTTTCTTTTCTTTTCTTTTCTTTTCTTTTCTTTTCTTTTCTTTTCAATTAACCACTCCAGAAATGCTGGCACCTTCCTCTATATTTAGCCGCAACAATCAAAACGTAATATAAGAGAAAAAAAACTGCGACGTGCATTCTAACTAAAGAGTATATAATTAGACAATTTTTTATTAAATATAATAACACATATTTATAATAATAATAATAATATATATATATACACACAGGATGAGTCACGAGAAGCAGAACGTCTAAATATCTTTGTTGGATTTGAAGATATGAAATATCTGTACATCAGAATTCGAATGTTTCCAAAGGATGTACATCGCCATTATAATATTATTTTTCCAGTATTTTCAAGGTCAGCAACGTGTTTGTTTATTTATTCCATTGTTCCGGGTTTCAACCTTCAGGTCATTCGGAGGTCGTATCGCGTTACACGGTTGAACTCGTTCAGATGTTCGTAACAATATACAAGGGAGAAAGGTATGCAATTCCATTAAAAAAAAAAGAAAAACGTTGCTGACCTTAAAAATGCCGAAAAAGAAAAAATAATATTATAATGGCGATGTGCATCCTTCGAAAACATTCTAATTTCGATGTACACGTATTTCGTATCTTCAAATCTAACAAAGATATTCAGGTGTTCTGCTTCTTGTGACTCATCCTCTGTATATACAATATATATATATCGTCTGATGACGATACTTTAAAATAATTGTACAGACTATAATTTCTTGATTTACTTCTGTTACTCATATGTTCGTGTACTTCATGTAAAGTGTAATGGCTAGAAGTTTAAGTGAAAATATTGAAACGACAGCCATTTCGATTCTTACCTTCAATTCTTCTTCCATTTCTGACAGTTTCCTTTCCATTGCTCTCCTTTCCCGTTTTTCAGCTTCAGATAAAACTGTTTTATTTTGAAGACTTTGCGCCTTATCCAATAAATTTCTGGTTTCTTTTAATTGTTCATCTGATCGTCTCAGTTTTTCTTTGAGCCTTTCATTTTCCACTTGAGATTCTTCATACAACTTTTTGTAGTCCAATTCACCGTTTTCAGAGGTTGTAGATTTTATTCTAGTTGATATGGAAGGTGTTTCCGAGGATAACGATGATACAGATCCTAGCCTGTTGGATCTCCCGGAACGGTCATTTCCACTCTAAAAGACAAAAATGTGCAAAAATTTATGTATCAGAGAGAGAGAGAGAGAGAGAGAGAGATCGATTGTTTGAAAATCATTTTGACTAGAAATAATATAAGAAATATTACAATATATCCTTCAGAACTGGCTAAACTTTGTAAACTAGAGCTTCTCGATCCAATTTGAATATCTGGCTTTGCCTTTGTTTTGTTGAAGCTTTCAGTTCGTTGCACGTGCGAGGAATGGTTCGGATTAAGATTTAAGTAACTATAACTTGTAGAAGGTGGTAAACGTAAAGACGCAATACTCGTGGGTAGAGTTATACTTCCGTATCCTGAGGAAGTGCCACCATAAGTTGTATACGGATTTTGGTAATTCAAATTACTGGTAGAGAGAGAGTTCGAATAAGGAGATTTTCTAAACGAGTCATTTGGCTTTGTGCTCTTGTTTAAGAAATTTGGTAATCCAACAGAATTTGTCCCATTAATGCTTAGCAGACCCGAATAGCTATTTTGATTCAAAGGAAACAACCCACTTATACTTCGTGATCTATTCCCAAAAATTGAACTTCCATTTGCTGATGCTTGAGCTCTTAATCCCGCAGCTGTTGTTGGTTTTCCTTGAGATCTCTTTCTATAGGATGACATTGCTCACTGCATCAAATTACTCCACAAATTTTATTGACTGTAATACACGTTCGTCTCGAAATTATCACTATATTCTTACATATTACTTTAAACAAAATAGACGACTATGATTATATTACAATTTCGTAGTTGGATCACTTTATTGCGATAAACGCGAATTTGGACGATCTGGTTCTAATGACAGTAAGTATTTGACTGACGTACATTGGGTGGAGGAACTTAAGACATCAGCCAGTTTACTCCAAAGCATCTGTTTGGTATGCTATTTATAGGTCACACGCACAAACTTACACCGATATCAAAGTTGTGTGGCTTGAAATAAATATATTTGATGTTTCATTCTTAAAACATTTTCTACGCTTACTTAATATTATGAAATGTACAAATTTATCATAAAACTTTATTAATCGAATCAAATTAGAGAAAAAAAATATAGATTTCGTCTCACCAATATATCATTTTAGGATCTTGAAATTTTTAAACGAAGCACAGCTATGCATCTAGTAATAAGAAAAATTTTTTAAATTATTAATTAATTTAATTACAATAAGCACTAATTACTGTACTTGTAAATTTTCTATTTTATGTATTACATAACAGACACTATTCTGTGCTTCATTAATTAGATTTATTGCTTTCTTTCATATATTGAACTGATTTTAACACGATAATGCAAACAATAAATAAATACATTTCAAGCTACTCTACTTAAATGTCAAAGAGTCACATCGCTTCAAATGTCGGAGGAATATTTTTAGCCACTGCCAGGCCATGTTCATGATCAATGTTTTTCTCCTTTTTAATCTTTATTTCATTTCTTTGGATTGATCTTTAAATACCGATCAAACTTAAATATTTCACTGTTGCTATCTAGATTATTTTCATTACGACTACTGTACCAGTTAATTTTATAATACACATTGAAAAACCGGCCTCAATGTATAATAATTTAGTATAGTAATTTAAGGGGTTTTGAATTATTTTCTAAGATTATACTATTTATACTAAATGAAATAAATACATGAAAATATATGTAATAATATGAAAATAGTATTTAAATTATAAAGTATATAGTTCGACTATAATGTAAAGAATTTAAAAGTTATGGAACAACACAGTATATTCATATAGTTTTAATACATAGTCTGATGGTACATAGGAGGATAAGAAATGGAAAACTATTTTTAACAAAGCATGCACGAATAGAGGTTAATCTTCCCAGAGACTAACCCAAAAATAACACAAAGCTTCTGTGGTTCACTAAATTGCGTTCATATTATAATAGTTCTACATTACTAGAAATATATATTAAAATTTATTTAGATCAACTTTTATTTTCATAAAGATAAATGAAAACATAAAATATTTAAAAGAAAAAAGAAAAGAAAATAGATGGAACAGTACTTGAAAGACATTATAACTTTTAATCTATAATTACTCGTGTTATCTCATTTTATTAATAATAATAAAATGCAAATCAAGCAAAGTAAAGAATTTATGTGTTAAAAAAGATTAGTAGAAACGATTAATAAAATTGAATGACTTTACCTCGTTATGATTAACTTTGGGTTCGTCGCAATCACCACCAGCAGTTAAGTCTTGCTTTTCAGGATCAATTTCCTATAAACCAATAATTTGCACTTATTATAAATAAACAGTTTCCGGTGTGCCGTAACATTACTTTAGAAATGAAATCAAACCATATAACCGAAAAAGAGATGAAAATTATGAAATGATATTTGATAATTGTTACACCAGTTGCGATTATTTTATTCAATTTAAATAATAATTGTTACTAACGTCCATATCAACATGGACAACGCCTGTAGATCTCCTTTTAGGCCTCCGCCTCCTTTGTATAACAGCCTGTGTGGCTTGTGCATTTCTACTGTCATTTTCTTTGTCTTGTTCTGAAATAGGTCAGTAAACGGGAATGATTAAATTTTCTTTATAAATTTCATCGAATTAAGAGACCTTAGTATTACTGATAGGTATACCCTTATCTTCAGGTTGTTTTAATGATCGTCTAAGTGGTAATGTTACAGTCGTTTCGGCACTGCTCGTTGCAATAGTTTCAATCGGGGCTGACGATGGTCTGGGTACACTGGAACCAGCTGAAGGTCTTCTCATATACGCTGTTGTAGTATCTGTATTGGGTAGCGTTGAAGTCCTATTACTAGCATCCTCTAACTGAAACTAAACAGTTACATTGTTTTTCAATGCTTTGTTGAAAAATATCTGGCATACTGTGTTCACTCAAAATCATTACTCATAGTTTAACTGCAGATATTACAATCCATCGGACCCGGTACTCTTTTATTATCACCTGATAACTTGTTCAATCGGGTTAATAACAATTTTCTAATACTATTTACAAAATTCGGATTTACGTGGTCCCGTTAAATGTTTCATTTTTGGTAAGAAAATAGTAAAAATTTGGCGTAACGTTGCTAAAAGCAGGCCGTAGTTGAAAACTGAAAATATTCCATAGTTACAAACCTTGCTCCCGTTATCTACTTTCAACCTCCAAGAAGGCCTCCTCTCGGGTAAGTTAAGTTCTTCGGAGGGTTTGTTTGCAGTCACGGTTGTAGGAGTTGCTGTTGTTATTGTAGCTGTAATTGAGGCTGTATTGCTGGTAGTGGTTGTAGGCTGGGTTATTTAAAAAGAAAAAAAAATATGAATAAATATTTGTGAAGCATTCACAGCTGTTAATAGGGCATTTAGTACCTCACGAATACTGCCGATATAAAAATTAAAACATACATCATTTCAACGCCTCTGTTGTAATATTTTGGTTTAAAATAAATATTTCAATCGATTCCGAGTTGAAAGATTGGGTCAGTAGACGTTGAAGAATTTTACCTGCGTTAAAGGTATCGTAGAAGGAACTTCGTTGTTTTGCTGTTTTTTCTTTACTAATTGCTCCGCGCTCTTGATTTCATCTAAAGTTACGCCCTGAGTTGAACGTCGAGTTTCTCTTACTCTCTTCGCGTGTGCTTTTCTTTGCGTTTCACTTTCTTCGTCACGAACAGGCGGGACAAAGGATCTGAACAGAAATGGCAGATTTATCGTTAAAAACAGTAAAGTACGATAACACTTGTATAACAGATATAAAGATTTTCCATGAGACACAGTAAAATTTGAGAAAGCATTAAACGTTATTATAAATAAAATCCATAAGCAATGATTACAGATATCACATAAAACATAAACGCCTTTAACATACGACAATAGAAATAACTTTGTTGGTTCGTAATCATTTGTCGTTTGTAATCACATATTAATGTTGCAGCTATAGTATAGTATTTATCAGAGAAAAATGCTATTTAAATTTGTAAGTAATACATACACACATGTGTATAAAGGTATGTTTTAAGATGTTTCAAACATGCTGACATTTCGTATTTTGATTTAACATTAAAGGATAACTTGCTAATACGCACACATTTTATTCTATTTTCGTCGCGTATGATTCCTGTCGATTTGGAACATTATAAACACATTCTGTCTGCGCTAAGTAGGCCTTTTAACAGACTTTCAGTTTTAAACGTGAAGCTTTATAATTGGCTGAGAAAATCAAACGATATGTTTCGGTGGCAGCGTTTCCATCCTAGAGACATTACTTTATACTAGCAAAGACAAGGCAGTGGTTATTAGGGCAAGTAATATCCGAGGAATAATATATGCAACTAAAAGAAATAATCACACTGCAAAGCAACTGTCCATGCCACTGCCAATAACTTAATACTGTGTGTAGAAATATCATGGGATATGCAAAGTCACACGTTTCAAGAGAATCTTCTCAGGTTAAGCATTGTGTACCCACTTGAAGAAATTCTTGAAGATATATCCAGGACTTAGCTTGCTCCCTCCTGGTGTAGTAGGAGTTCCAGAAACAGCTACTGAATTGTTTGTACTCGATAGAACTGTGGTTGTACCTTCCACTGGTTGAACGCTACCCAGCCACATTAACAACATTGCACGATGCAAATATGAATGTATTGTATAAACTTGAATTTTAAAAGTATTCTAGATTTCAAGACACATTGCATTTTAAGAATCGATGTCTTTGTTACTTTTCGATTGTACGATGCGTTTCATTAAAATTTCTAGACTGTATTTAGTATTGGATAGAGCGATACCTCATTTCATTATCTCTTTTATATATATATATATTATTGATTTCTTTTTATTTGATATTTACCTGCGCACTTGATTGGCTGGAATAGGGCTTGTTGTTGTAGTTGTAGTTGTTGTTGTGGCAGTTGTAGTAGCTGTAGCTGTAGTAGTTGGCAGTGTACTCGACACTATTGTTTTAGATGTAGATGTTGGTGAAAGTGTATTGCTTCCCTGTGGCAGTCTTGATAGTTCCAAGTTTAATTTTGCTTCTTTTCTTCTAAAGTTAAAAGAGTGCGAGCGTTACATTACATGAAAATATAAAGTTCTCGCTTCAATTTAGTTACTCGAATCTTGTTATATCAATCAATCCCAATATTATATTGAATTTAT